ATTTCAATCAACGGAATAGGAAATTAGGGTCAAGCTGGTAACTTCTGAATTATTATCCACTTAGGCCGATTCTCACTCTGAGTACCCAAAGTTTCAAGAGAAAGCTAGAGTGACAGCTATATTTATGGATGTATAGTTTAAAAAAAGAAATGAGTAAATTGGACATTAGTACTAATTCAATTCTGAATATTTATGAATAAGTATAAATGTTCAGGAAAAGCAGTGCCCTGGGAGATTCAGAAACTCATACCTTTGAAATCTTAATATTACAATTACAAGAAATTATTCATGTGGCCTAATATCTACTTACTAAATAATACTAAAAGTGTAAATAAGATTGGAATTGTTTGCTACTGAATAATGGTTAACTTAATGCCAATCCTGAAAAATGCACAAACTAGTTTATTTATTTTAGAAAAAGTCAAGATGACCTGTTTCTATGTTTCATAACCATTGAACACTATGAAAATAAGTTTTCAAACATCATTTATGCAAGAACTAATGCATAAATTATTGAAATTAAAGTGCATAAAAATAATAAAATCATGTTTGTTACTTTTTTACATAAATTGCACCTCATTAAAGTTACTGTTCACAATTCTGTAAGATTCATTTTGTATAACTTAATATTCAAACTGTTCTTGCAAATATTTAAAGAACAAAAGTACTGGTAAATTATGTGAGCATTTATTATAGCTTAAAAATACAGTTGACCAGAGATAATCCTTAAATAACTCCTATGATTTGGTTATAAAAAACATATTTTATTTGTTAAAGAGGAAAATGAAATGCTATTTACTCATTTTTTTTATTATACTTGAACTTAAATCACCTTTCATATGTGTCCAAATTACACATTATTCAGGATAAAAGAAATTCATAATTATAAAAAAGATAGTATACTGTATTCTGTTATGGTTCAAAATGGCTTCCAAAAGTCAAAAAGTTAATGCACTTAAGAAATACTATCTAAAGGCATTAAAAATAATAAATTTATTATGACAATAATATTTGTTCTCACCTTGAAGTCATTTAATTTCTGGTTCAGTTTTGATCTTCTTATATCACTATTTCGATGCCCCCAAACTACATTCATGGGCTCTTTAAAACTGTCCAAGAAATGTAGCAGAGAGGGAAAAATTGGCTTACTTTTAGAAGGAATCATTTAAAATAGGCCTATACAGCAATTTCTGAAGCTTAAAATGATGTTTTCTGTTTTCAATTTAAGAGAAATTGAAGATAAATGAAATAGTATGAACATTTATAGTTCTTTAAGCTAATTTTTCAAGCCTGAAGATATGTTATCTTTATTCAAATATACTGGCTTGGTTTCCTTAAATTGTGTAATTTGAGGGGCAAGCCAGATACAGAAAGTTAGCTAAGTGTCCAAAAACTGGGTCATCAGGGGAAGGTGGGAAGACTCTGTGAGCGTCTGTGACCCCTCTGGTCTGAGTGGTGGAGGTTAAGCAGCGTGCCATAGGGGACAGATCAGAGCCTGTGGAGTGGAAGTCTGGTTCAGCTTATGGCAGCTTTAATACCTTAGGCAATCTACTTACCCCCTGTGACTATTTCTATAAAAGAGGAACAATAAAAATCTCTGGAGATCTGCTCATGTTATAATTGGGTTACAATACATGCAAGGTAGTTACTCAGTGGTATTTCACTACTGGAAAGCTGTATAAAGAAGTGCTTAAGAATGAGTCTTCAGGGGGAGGCTTGTGTCTAATCCCCTATTCCATCACTTAGAAAATAAATATAAAGAGTGACGTTTGTAATCTTTCTAAGCTTCAGTGTTCTCAGTCAGACAATGAGGTACTAATGTTATCTCATGTTGCTGTAAATATAGGGTGAGATGCATATATAACATTCAGAGTTGAGTCATTGACATAAAGCACTCAACAAATTCTAACTACCATTAATACTACTCATATTGTTTTTCCTTTCTCTGTATGTGGATTTACTAACATATGCTAGAAAATTGACAGACTGGTCCCCTATATAGTTAGGGTGACCAATTGCCTCACTCCAGTTTGCCTAGAAGTGTCCTGGGTTTAGTCCTGTAAGACTTGCATTTCAGGAAATCTCTCAATCCCAAGCAAACAGGGGTCACTGATTGTCCTGCAAGGTCATCTGCAATTTATCAAAAATAAGCTCTGGCTAATGAGTTCTTTAGCCTGTCTGGGACAGGAATGGTGGGCACCAGTTCTCATTTGTCTAGGTAGCATTCACAATTACCTGAATGAATTCTCTGATATAATCCTAAAAAGAGGGACTTCAGATTGTAGCAGTACAATTTCTATGCTGTGAAGTTTTCTTTCCTTTGTAGTACATAAGCCTCAAATTTGGCTTTAAAGAAATTTCTTGAACTTGCTTCCTTTTCTGTACCATAAGAGCCACTTTTTTCACTTTTATTTTTTAAATTTGTATAGGGCACTTATGCTCATGGGGGGGGGAGGGAGAGAAAGAGAAAACACCTCTCTGGGAGATGGCCACGCTACAATCTCTTCTCTGTTGTCCTCTTGGGACTCTAGGCAGCATGCACAAGCGTCTGGTTTTTTCCAAGCCTCTGGGTTTGAGACTCAACACAGTTTTCCACATGGAATCCAGTCACCTTAACCACCATTGTCACCAGCTGGCCCAAGAGCCACATTTAGTGGCTGAGCTGTGCTATCTTAAATTCCAGAAAAGAGGAACAGTATCCTCTATTGCTTAAATCCTTGATGAATGTAGTTTTGGATTTGCCTCTTTGGTTGTTTCTAATCACGTGGTCTATTCTGTGAGGCATGTCTACATCCAGTCTCCAAGGAAGACTTGGCAGGGTGACCCATGTCTGTAAGGACACAATGACTTTATAAAAACCTAATAACCTGGTAAACTCTGTAGAGAGATGATAAATGTGCATACTTTATGTAGACTTTATACCACTTATGGATTTTATATTGATTAGTTAATTATGGCTTTGGTCATGGAAGTGTTCTAAATGAAGAATTATATTTTTCTTTCTCTTGGAGAAAAAAATTAGGTAATGGTTAATTTCCAGTATAGAATTCTAAGGTTTTCTTTTTTTTTTTTTTTTTTTTTTTTTTTTTGCCATAGAGAATATGCTCTTGCCAGAGAAATAAGAGAAATAGAGAGGGAAACTGAGAAATCACCCCCACAGGAAGATGGCTAGGCTGTAACCTTTCTTCCATTCTCCTCTCGAGATCTTGAGCACACAGGCACAGGTCCCTGACATGGTATTTTAAGCCACTGTGTCCTGAACCTGAACCAAGGTCAGTCATGGGAATTCAGTTGCCTTAACCACCACACCACCTGCTAGCTCCCAAATTCTAAGGTTTTTGTCTACTAAAATTTATCTTGCATATTTGACTAAATTCTACCAAGTATGAATCCAATGGCCATTTTTGTAACACTGAATCTAAAGTTGTGTTTCTCATATCTGCACTAAAAATGCAGGAGGGCCAGAAATCTAGTAACATCTTGATCTCATTAAATAATATTTATTTTTCATTAATATCTATTTATTGTTTAGTATGTCTGACACTATGCCAAAATATGCAAATTATTTGCCTGGATATAAATATAATCATACTTTTTAAAAATCGGACTAAAATAAGTAATTGAATATTATCTCCCATTTTAAATTTAAAATCGAGATTCATAATGCATAGCTAAATATAATAGAAGTTGGGATAACTTGGGATTTGTGCTTATTAAAATAAGACATACCCACATACCCACATGTAGTGGAAGGAAGTAAAAAAAAAAAAGGTCAAAGGGAAAAATCTCTTGATTTTCTTGAATTTGAGGTTGCTCATTTATAAAATAGGGGAAATATGCTAGTCTCAGGACTAGCCTGGAGAGTAACTATGGTTAACATTAATTCAATCATGAATCCACTTTCAAATATCAAGTTAATGTACTTTTGATCCCCTATTTTTTGCCATAGGTGTGTGCATCTTGCCAAAGAGAACAAAGAGAGAGAGGAAAAGTGAAAAACCACCCCCCAGGGGGAGTGACCATGCCACAGTCCTTTCTCCACCATTCTCCTCTGGGGATTTCTGGCATGCAAGCACATGGGGATTTCGGGCATGCGAGCACACATGCCTGGCATATTTTTAGGTCACAAGGTCTGGGACTCAAACCAGCTGAGTTGGCCATGTCGAATCCAGAGCCTTAACTTACATATCACCTGCTGGCCCAGGTTAAATGTACTCTCATTAAACCATACAACATTATATAATTTTAAGTATTATTCATAGTATTGATACTAATATAATTAAACCAAAAAACTCCTATTCCAATAAGTCATTAGGCCAACAGTTAATACTGAAAAGAAATGGTACAGGAAGCAGGGGAGTGAGGTGGAAGGCCTGCCACCTGTGTGACAGTAAGTACAAAGACCAAAAGTAAAACATGATCAAAAAGACAATAAGGAGGTCAGAAACGTGCCCATATATCAAGGTGAATGTTTCTTCTTTTGTCTGTCTCTCAGAAAAGACAGAAATATTGTATATCATAACAATACTGAGGAGTAACATTTAGGTAGCCTTTTTCAAGAGGCATGACTGCAGTAAGGTCCAGAGCATGCACTAAGGCTACTGCTATCTGGAAAGTAAAATCCAGAGTTTTCTACCCTTTAGACCACATATTAACCTACATAGGAGGTATAAATTAAATCCTTTATCTAGCAGAGTGGGGGAATGCAATAAACAAACATAAACAAATAATGTGTTATTGTTTTCTAAAGCAAATTGTCTTCTAGGAGTTATTGTGGGTAAGTATAAAAACAAAAATAGTCTCAATTTTAAGTAATCTTTAACTCTTTAATGTGAACGTCACACAATATGAAAAATACCAAATGCCCTAAAAAATCATGTCAGGGAAATGACTACTTGTTAAATAATTTTCCTCATAATTTCAATAAGTACACTTATATAACTCTTGTATACTATAAAAGTAACAGTATTAAAGGGTTAGAAAGTTATATTAATATTTACCTTTTGTGGAAGAGTTATATTTTTCTTGTTCTTCAATGAATTAAATGCACATAATGATGGAAACAAAAGAAAGAAATCAGCAAATTTATAGTTAGACATGGAAATGTGAAATAACACAATGGCATGAATAATAAAAATGCATAACAGATAAAGTGGCATGATAAAATACAGAGACAAACCATGAGAAAGTCTCAAATATGGTACTAAAATTAATAAAAAGAGAATGAATATAGCAATTTAAAGATTTAAAATAAAACAAAACATTGGGATAGTAATATGTTCGGCATTTGAAAAGTATATTTCATAGTATTTTCTTGCCTTTTAAGAATTATATATTTCAGCATCAATTTTACTAAAACATTTTAACTTAAATCCATTTTTTATTATGAGTGTATTTAAAAGCATGCTCAATATTCATAACAAATTTTTATCATTTCAAAAGTGAATGTATTTCAGATTATTTTAAATTTCATGAGGAAAATTTAAAGTAAATTCAAATTTTTACTAAGCAGTAGGAATATACTTTGCACTCAGGAAATTATTCTGTTAACATTTTCCAAAAGGAAAGAATAAATTCTAACTTAAGTAATCTTTTCTTCCTTCTAATTAATTATATTAAAATACCCCTAAGTGTAATGACTTGCTTTTTTTTTTTTTTTTGAGAGATTTTCGCTATAGGGCGCGTGCGCTCGCCAGACAGACAGAGAGAGACAGAGAGACAGAAAGCGAGAAATCACCCCCCAGGGGGGATGGTCACGCCGCAGTCCCTTCTCCTCCATTCTCCTCTTGGGATCTTGGGCACGCAGGCACACGCGCCCGGCGTGAGTTTTAAGCCACCGGGTTCGGCACGTGAACCGCGGTCAACTACGTGGGAGTCCAGCGACATAGCCATTACACTAACTGCTGGTTCCATGACTTGCTTTTTATAGTCTTTGTTTCTTAGACATTCCATAAAGCCTTCTATCTACTTCCTTGTTGGTGTAGTATTTACTGAGAAGTAATGGACAACCTGGGTATATTTGAAGGGGAATATTTTTAGAGTTTTAGGTAGTAGATAAAATAATGAAACACATAACACTACTGTCACACCACTAAGTGTCAGTTTAGAAATGGTCTTAACATACTTCTTTAAAAGTCCTCCCTGAGCACAAAAAAGAGATATCATTTGGTTGGTTTCAGAAAACCGTACTTTTTTATACAACTAATAAGAATTATGTTAGCTTCAGCTTCACTCAACACCAGGGCTATGGTGGAATACAACTGCTGAAATATGACCAGAGAAATTTCACAGAAGTCTTTGCTCATAATTCTGATGTATATCATCAGAATTACCTAAAGTATGAGGCTACTTTTTTAACTACTCTCTCCCAAAATCTATATTGCAATCATTTCTTTGCTTTTCTCCAAAATGTACTTTAACATAATCAGATTCCATGTAACCAATAGAGTCATCTCAATTTTCAAAAAAAAAACTTTAAAACATTTCTTCAAAAGCTAATTAAACATGTCTTTTCAAATTATATGTTAATCCCAGAATAAGAGATATTCTTTTATGATACACAGAGACAGTAGTAAATCTGATCTACAGGGGAAAAAAAAAACACACACACATCCCATCAAACAATGAAATTATCCGGGTATATATCCTCAATATAATAAAGTAGATAACTGTATCTACAAACAGCATATTAATCAAATTATTTTATAAATGTATTAAGAAGTTGTCATCATAATCCAGGCATTGAAACTATGTGATATATTTGCTCTTACCAATCTGCTTTATTTATCAACTTTATTTATCAACTCAATTACTTTTTTTAAAAAAATTAAAACCACTCTTTAAAAAATTAAAAAATATTGAAAGTAAGTACAGTAGAGGCTTCCTTAATTGTAAATAACTTGAGGTCAGTATAAATTTTCATAAGAGACAGAACTAAAGTTTAACAAATATCATCAAAAGTTAAAAAAAAGGAACAGATTGAATTCTGCCTAGCTCATGAACCATATTAGAAATTTACTTTTAAAAATGTATTTCAGGAGAAACAAAGCTGTCAGGTGAACTGCTTCTTTTAAAATAGATGCATAATAAAATAATGACACAGTATCGACATTTACCCAAGTCCCAAAGCACATATTATCATAAAGTACACCAGATCTATTTTATTTTTGGAACATTTAGGCAATAGTACAGGCTTTTTGCTACATTTTTAAAACAGCTAAATCTATGTGACTTTTTAAATAATGTATTTCAGGAACCTCAAATGACCAAAAAATTTTACTAGTATATTTGTGACATTAAATATCAAAATAACTCCATCAATATCATTCTCAGTCATTCCCTTCTTCCCACCTCAATTCATTCCTTACAAATTGGTGATTTCTCTGAAAGACAACTGTGAATATAAATATTATAAACAGCAACACTGATATAAACAATATACACTTTGTTAAAAATTAAAATTCAACATATTATCCAACTGGTTTATTAATATTCTTTCTACCAAAACAATATAAATATAATCTCATAATATAAGAGTTATATGCAGCATCCTTACACGCTTTTGACCACGTAGAACGTTTTGTTTCCAATTGGAGGAAATGCAAAGAATTTTACAAGCATGGGACCTTTGAATTATCAATCTTTAGCAAAATATGACCAGTAGCATTGGTTAACCACCAGTAACACTAGTTAACCACCAAAATTTATAATTCTTTCAGTTGTGCAACAGGAATTCATGAAGGGATAAATTTTAATAAACACCAATTTCCACTTTTAAAAAGTAAATCTTAAAATAACTGAATCTTAGTTACAGCTAATTAGTTTTAATAACATTAATTATGAATAATCTTCTCAAAATGTTCCCAGAAAAAAGTCTGTTAAACATATAAATTGATATTTCCAATTAATTCCTATTTTAGAAAAGTCAAATTTTCACAAAGCATTATATTTTCCTAGTTATGAAAACTGGATACCTGTAAAGAAAGTATGATATATCAATAGGACGTGTAATTTAAAAAAATACAAATCCAAAGTTTATTATACCAGTATTACTCCCTTAGTAAATTGATACCTCTTAAAAACTACACTAAATTTCCTATAATCGAGTATTCTGCATAGTAAATTGCTACAACAATTTCTGAAATAATGTATTTATCTTCCTATTTTGATACATCATTTTGAGAAAATCACATACCCACAACCCTCAATATAGAATGAAATGCAAGTTTTACAAAACCACAATCAACAGTTGAAAAAATATTCAAAATGTTAACCTTTCACTTGTTTCATAGGGATGAAGATTTTCAATACATGTTTAAATATAAGGCCACTGCGTTATACTACAACAGAAATGATTTCAGTAAATTGCTTGATAAATCCCTAGTAAGAAATATGTGATACCAGGTACTAATCATTTCACCTACTGACAAATGGGATTGAACTCTGTGACACATGAAGAATACTCTTTTAACCCAGCATTTATATCATGTAGCTCATGTAGTTAAGAGAATTTAGTTTCCATTGCCAAATCTTTCTTTCTCTTTCAAAAAAAAAAAAAATATTCAAAATGTTAACCTTTCACTTGTTTCATAGGGATGAAGATTTTCAATACATGTTTAAATATAAGGCCACTGCGTTATACTACAACAGAAATGATTTCAGTAAATTGCTTGATAAATCCCTAGTAAGAAATATGTGATACCAGGTACTAATCATTTCACCTACTGACAAATGGGATTGAACTCTGTGACACATGAAGAATACTCTTTTAACCCAGCATTTATATCATGTAGCTCATGTAGTTAAGAGAATTTAGTTTCCATTGCCAAATCTTTCTCTTAAAAAAAAAAAAAAAAAAACTACAATGTACATGTGTGTAAAATAAGACTATTTAAGCAACATGAACGATTGAAAGATACTAATATCTGTGCTCCAAGTCCAATTTTCATCATTTAACTTAATAACAGGATATTGCCAATATTCTTTTAAAAAAAATAGTAAAACATTCAACATAACCAAGTACCGGATTTTAAAGATAAAGTATTTTACACATAGAATACCGTATTGTACTGAGGTTTTAAAAATTCACTTTCTTTCTTTGTCCCTTTGGAATAATAGGTGTTTCTAAGCCTCCAGTTGTCCTGCTAAATGATCATCTAAAATTTATTCACTCACTCTCTTGGCAGAAATTGAGTGTATGCTATGAACAGATAACAGATACTGGGGATAAAAATGCAAAGAAACTTAAATTTGTTGGATTCAGCAAACTGCAAATTATCAAAATACTACTCATTTAATAAAAGGAATATTAAAAAAGGAGGTTCTGAATCCCGGGACTTTTGGACAATGACGTCTCTTTATAGGATACCTTGTTCTATACTGCCGCTTCTCACTGGCACTTGTGGGAGCTGTCTTCCCCTGCGACTGCTGAAGGACGCATCTGCTGGAGGAGACTGGGTCGGGCTTCCTTGTCGGTGCATTCTGTGGGCACAAAAGGGAGGGAGGAAGTGAAACAGTGAAATCCTACAGGGCCTGACCAAAATCTTTCCCTTCTTCCTGTTCCTATTAAAATAGACATAAAACCCTACGGTGGACCATTGAAAGCAAAATCAATACTTTGTTTATGATACAGCTAAAAGGACTAGTACAAAAAGAGGCTAAAAGACAGGGCAGTGTCTATCACACATATAATGAATTCCTGACTTGAGCTGAATCTGATCCACTGTTTTTCATTAGCTTTCTATGAAGTGGTGCTTTCTGAGCAACATACTTCTTTCTGGTGGTGCAGATCCAAATAAATCTACTGAGTGAAAGTTTCACGTGCTCAGGAAGGTACAACAGAGACATCAAATATAGTCTCTGAATCTTGACAATTATCAATAGATTAGTTAAGAAAGGCTGTCACCTATATTGCTACCACTGAATTTATATATACTCTAGGACTATTTATAATTTGTAAGAATAATTCTAGCTGCAGATTTCTAGACATTACCATTGCCCTGTACTTTATTTTTAAATAGGAAAAACTGTGGCAGATATTTAAAATAACCTTGGACACGTGCTCTGAAAGACATGGTGCAAAGACTGAAATCAGAAATGAGAATTTAGGAAGCATGCATATACATTTCCACTGCTCAGGATTAAGCTAATCTCCATCTACTGACCCTTAAACTTTTTTTTTTTTAACCTAAAGAACTTTAAAATATTCTAAGACTTTACTGAACACAAATTAGTAGCTATTTTTAAAATTCCTCTTATGCCACTGAAGTAAATACATTTATCTAGATAATTTATTATAAATAATTTCACATAATTAAAAAATTATATATGAATATGCCACGAACAGATGAAAGGACATAAAACAGCCAGATTTATTTCTCAATGATGTCTAATTGGCAGGAACTGTAGAATACCACCAGCACAGTGAAGATAGATGCAAGTAAGAGATGTGGGAGAAAGGTTTAAGTATCACAAAGAAAGGATTAAAAATTACGGTGTCATAATGAGTGAAAGCTTCAGGTGCTCAGGAAGGCACAACACCACACCAACACCTGGAGGCAGGACATGAATGCTGGGCAAGACACTGAATAGCGACCTTGTCAGAAGCGGAGAAGGCGGCGCCGACCCTCCGGGGGCAAGGTGGTGCATAGAACACAGTGTTCTGACACTAGAGTGCTCACTCGACCTTGAGCGAGTGGGATGTTTTCCCCTAATGACTGGCTGATCAGTCGCTCTTGGGGCTGCATGTCCCCTTCTAGAAAGACATGGTGGGAGAACCCTAAAACATTAGGGCCAAAAAAGATCTTCAGTCAGCAGGCACATATTAACTTTGATACCAACACATTTGTCCAAGGAAAACCTGATTATTCTTACAAGACAGTGATTTTAAAGAACCAGAAGAAAACTCATTACGCAATAACTGAAACAGAATTCAAATCAAATTGACATCTTAGTATCAAAAATATAAATGTCATGAGGTTTTAAAAGGTCTATCTACGTTGTTCTGATGGAATAAACTTCTCATAAGTTCCAGAATAGCAGAGACTTTTTTTTTTTAACAGAGTTCAATCTCCAGTGCCTATACCACAACTACACAGGGAGCAAGAACTCAGTGACATGATGATTGGTTGACTGAATACAATTAAATGATGAATACAGGGATACTTCAAGTATTTGACTTCAAAAAGAAACAATATACTGTATAACTCTGTGTTTTCATAATGTTCACAATTTCATTCTGCAATAAGCAAGTTTATGTCAAACAGATAATGAAAGAATGACTTTGAGATGAATCTAAGCCAACCAAAAAATTAAAGTCATATAATAACATGGAGAATGATTCATTATGCATACAATTGATTAAGGGCAAATGGCTGATACGAAAATAAAAACATGTTCTCAGCCGTAACAATGTCTAGAAAGTCATGTGTCCATATGTTGACACTTATCGTAACATGGAGTTCAAAAATGTTATAAAGCCAATTTGTGAATTAAAAATTAAAGTTAATGTTTATATATATATGTGTGTATACATACATACATATATATGTGTATATGTGTGATATATATATATATATATATATATATATATATATATATATTTAAACAGATACATGCTATTGCCCTTTGGATCATTTTCAATATATATATATATTTTAAATAAAATTATGATTAAAATACCCAATATTTCTTTTGATAGAAATAACATAGAGCCCTTTTAAAGTGATGTTATGAATTCACTGATAAAGCAATTCGATGGATGTATTGATCACAAAAAAATACGGTGATCATCTTGATCACAAAAAGTACATTCATGAGTGCTTTATTCAACTTATATTCAGACTGACAATTTTTCATTTCAGTAAAATGATCTTCAAAGCTATAGTAATTTTGATTCAGAGTTTCATCTCCAATTTGGAATAACAAAAAGGGGAAAAAGTGAGCTTGTAGAGAACAAAAAAAAAGACAGTGCTGGTCTTTAACAAAGGTGCGATTCATCTTCTTAGAGATGTATTAATGCTTTTTTGGACTCTTATTCTGACCCTGAAACCTGAACTGTCTTCAAAATTTCTAAATTAAAATAAGTAAGTGACAGTACTCTACATTTATTAAAACTGCTCATTCATTCTGAATTGACTTTTCATAACTCAGCTGTATAATTTAATTCCTATGGGATCGATTTCATGATCAATTCCTTCCCAATAATAGAAGAATGAGTTTTATCTGTTACTCTTTATAAGCCAGCATCATTAAAATAGATTTCAAGCAATCTTTGTTCAAAATATACTTTGTAAATGTGGCTTAAAAATTAAATCAGTTTTCACCCTAGTGCAGAGAAATTTCATGGATATTGAAATTTCACCAAATTCTTGCTTCATTTCCTAATGTAATTCATAAGTACTGAAGTCAAAGAGACACTTGGATGTGACTTAAAATGTGAATAATTTAGGGGACCTTTATATGGCACCACACAAAATGGCAAAAGTATAAAAAGCAATTTCAGAGCAAATAAAATGGCTTCCTGGTAAATATTGTCTAGCTCCAAGATATGTGACTGAGTGTTCTCTCTCTCTCGTCATGAGGTTGCAAACTCCCTGGGGTGTTTGAAGTTAATTGTCTAGCACACGATCTATTTCTTTTAGACATGAGTTAAAAGACCCTCAATAACAAAATGGTTCCTGCCACCAGCCAACCTGTACGAAGCATGAAAGCACAGAGAAGCACAGAAAACCGCTCTGCTGGGGGAAGAGAGAGGAGTGTGGTAGCAAAGTTGAGTTATAGGAATGGAAACTGGGAAGAGGCAAAGTACAGAACTTGAAGAGAGAAATGCAAGGTTTTGCAGAAGAGAAATAATGGAACCAAGTAGAGCCTGTTTTAGGCAACAGGAAAGGAGAAATAACCAGGAAATGTTGAGGTTACAGGGGTGTAAAGTTGAGAGACTAGTGTACTGAGTTAATCTTTTCAATGAAATGGGATGTACTAAGAATGTAAGGATATAAAAAGAGAAAATATTTAAAACAACCGTGTTAAAGAATGGAACAGGGAATGAGTGACAGATAAGTAAAATAATAGTAATAGCTATTCTTTTTTTTTTCTTGTTGTAGAGAGATTTTTGCATAAGGTGCATGTGCTCATTGGAGAGGAAGAGAGACAGAAATTGAGAAATCATCCCCTCCCTCAGGGGGATGGCCATGCTACAATCCCTTCTCCTCCATTCTCCTCTTCGGAATTTGGGCACACAGGCACACATACCCAGCATGAGTTTTAAGCCACCAGGTCTGGGACTTGAACCACAGCTGACTGTGTGGGAGACCAGCAACATAAACGTTAGGTCATCTGCTGGTCCCAGTAACAGCTATTCCTTAATGAGCATTAACACACGGCTGTCTATACATGCCACGCTCTGAATGTACATGTGCATGCATACATATAAGTATATGTTATGTGTATATGTGTGAGGCACTTCAAAAAGATCATCGAGGAAAGCAATTAAAGTACAAGTTTATGGGGGCCAGATGGTTGGTACAGTGGTAAAATGTAATGCTCTATGAGGCTAACCCACAAGGAGGTTTCTGAGTTTGCATCCAGAAACTTCCTTGAACATGTACATAACCATGATTTGGGGCTGGCTAAAGCTTGAGGTGGGTCACAGTATCCATTGAGGTTACTGTCTGTGTTTTGCTCTCTCTCATGGATGAAATTAACAAACTTTAATAAAATACTAGTTTATTTTGACACAAAACCATTTTTGAAATCCACACATAGGTTTTTCATAATGCATGTTTTCCATGAATTTTTTGAAGGTCCCTGGTATGTATACATATGTATGTATAGATCGATCTATTTTTATGTATTTGCACAGCCTGAGAAGTATTATTATTACTATTTTCTAGAAAGTTAGAGTGACTTGCATAAAGACAAAAAACTAAAAATGTCATAGAGGTAGGATCCACACACATCTATTGAGCTTCAGTGGTTCTCTACCCTATCCAGTAAAATAGTAGGTAGTCGTGAAAGTCATAATGTAGTTTTCTACATATTTCTATGCAAAAATATGTCATCAGTTTCCCAACAACCCAATATTTCTTTCCTTTTCTTTTTTCTTTCTTTTTTTTTTTTGGAGAGGTTTTTGCTATAGGGCACATGCACTCGCCAAAAAGACAGACAGAGAGATAGAAAGCGAGAAATCACCCCCCAAGGGGGATGGCCATGCCACAATCCCTTCTCCTCCATTCTCCTCTCGGAATCTTGGGCACTCATGCACATGCGCCCGGCCTCAGTTTAAGCCACCAGGTCCGGGACTCACAGTGGTCAACTACATGGGAGTTCAGCGACATAGCCACTATGCTAACTGCTGGTCCCGCAATAGTATTTATTTCTATGTGATGAGATGAAGTATAAAAATTTCATATCACAAGATATACTTTTAGTCTTGTAATTCAAAACAAATATATATTCAGCTATCAAATTATTTGGCAGAACTTAATAGAATTGTGTTCAGAGAGTTTTTGGAGTCAAAATATAAGGAAAGTGGTATTTAATGATATCTTTTAAATTTTTAAAGTAAAAAAAACTAAAGAATTTTATTTCAAATAAAAGTATGCATAGCTCTAGTTCATCAACTACAAATGTGTACCTAAGTGTTTACCAGTGGGTCCTATCCATTCCTACTCTCTTCATAAAAAAAAATAAATAAAATAAAAAAAAAAACTAGTGTTTTGACTTGGACTTAAGTAAAACAGGTTTCTCACCACCACTTAGGTCCTTAGTGAGACATTTCTCACGCTGCAAGTGGACTTGCAGTGAAGCTTTTTACTAAAGTCTATGAAAGGAGTTCTGGGGTTTTGTCAGTGACCAGCTAAAAGACAGCAAAGTATGTGGAATTTCAGGTCCAGTCTGCAGAAAGGTGCTTCCTGTGATGGCCCCTTCTAGGCCTGCTCAGGACCTTTCCATTTGCAACAGAAAACAAAAACTGCATATTTGGGCAATTCTAAATAGTGGTTAAAACAAAGCTTCCTCAGTGAAAATGCCGAGTGTAGGGTTCACAAGAACAGTCCCTAAAATGAAACGCAGAAATGATGTATCAGTTCTCATAGCTGAATTCACATGAAGATCATGATGTTTGTCTTACTAATGAGCTTCCCCCCAAAATATGAAGTGCATTTAAATAGGTAGGCACAGAAGTTGGCAATCAGTTTTGCCTTGATCTGCAGTCGGTCACCATAACTTTCACATGTTCCTACAAGGCTATTATTCCTCATGAGAACAAGTTGACTGATGGCAAAAGAGTCCTTTATCATTATAGTCATTACACAGTAAATGCTGCCAGAGGCCAGTGTTGTGTGTTGTGCGGTGTGACTCCTGCGGGAGGTTCAATGACAATGGTCAAGAATCAGTGTCCAAAGCACTCGGACTATGGCCTTGGTTCACTTGTAGCTAGATGTTAAAACTAAAAGTATTTCCCAAAGATATGAGAGCTAGTCTAACTTAGAAAATCCAGGTCAAATATTCTTTATTAAGTAGATACTCGACAATTCACTCAAAAACAAGATATGTAATTTATACTCCAATAAAATCAATGAAGAGCTTTCATTAAAATCAAACAAATCTAAACATCTTAATGGTCAGAGTTTTTCTGCAATGGGACTTTAAAATGTTTGTGGAAAAATGGAATTAAAGTATAAATTTACTTTGGTGAAAATAAAATTTTAAATCCGTATATAGGTTTTTTTATAATAGGGATTTTCCATACACTTTTTGAAGACCCACCCCACCCCTAATATTGTGTAACCTACATGTATAGACAAGGGTAGTATGAAACTGGTCCTTAAGCAGTAAACATTTAAGATATAAATCCTATCAAATCTGTTCTATCCTTATGGGAAAGAGGGAGGACTCATGTTTATTCACACACTACTTTCAGAGTTGCAGAGGGTAAAATACCATTCACGTGGAGTTAAGCACCTTCGGCTGACTCTGGAATCATCGAACGTTTTATAAAACAGCACCCTATGGTCAAAAATACTTCTTCACTGATATTGTCTAAACACATAACTGGTCATAGTAGTCACTCAACTAGTGTTTATTAAAGTTGCCTCAAGGGAATACAAACAACACAACTTGAAGGAAAAATTTTAATCTAGCCAAAATAACTGGGACTGTGCTTGTGCATTACGTGTAAGAATGATGGTTGAAGACTGAAAACTTGTCTAAAAAATTCAAGTCATGAAAAAAAAAAAGGAATTCAAGTCATTTACAATGACAGTAAATGAACTCAGCTGAGTTGAGAATAACATGAAAAAAGAAACAACTGATACTGTTTCATTATAGGCTATCTATTGGCTAAAATCTCTGTGCTTCAACTCTTTCCTCTAAGTTCAATTTCTTTTTCTACTTAACACTTTTATGAGTTTCTGGGATCCTGCTTTGTAGCTCCAGTCCACATGTTAGGAATAAATTTCATTTCTTTTTTTTTTCTTTTAATATAATTTTTTTCCTGCCATAGTGTACATGCACTCGCTGGAGAGAGAGATACACAGTGAGAAGGAAAGTGAAAAATCACTCCCTGGGGGGACGACCATGCTGAAATCCCACCTCCTTCATTCTCCTCTTGGGATTTTGGGCATGAACGCACACACGCCCAGCGTTATTTTCAAGTGCTGATCCAGGACTCAAACTGCTGTCAGTCATACGGGTAGTCCAGTGCCTTAACCATTGTGCCACCTGGTGGCTCCTCATTTCCCTTCTGCCCTCATCCCTTGACATGTCTCATACTCAATGATTTTTCAGATCTCAATTTAGTGGTGATATCCTCTAGAAAACGGTTCTTTCTTGCTGCCACTATTCTGTTCTTTAAACTTCCAACATAGCTTGGCATGTGCGTGTCAACTGAACAAATCACTGAGTTGTGACATTCTATCTCAACCAAGCCTACTGCGATAACCAGGCTGCTGCCCTGCGTCTACCCTGGTTCCTTTCTATCTATATTTCAAAAAGTCGTCAAAGTGATCTACAATTTTGGGACTCAAAACTGATCATCTGCCTCCCATGATTAATATACAACCACAGCTCATAGAAAATAAAGACACTGAAATTCTTTAGCAGGTCGCTCACTTGGTACTGTTACATTATGCGTTTAATTTCTCAAGAATTCTCTAATTTTATTTTTAACCTTCTTTCCAAGCAACTGAATCCTATTTGTCATTCCAAAATTAATAGAAATGTACCAATTCTAGAAGACATTTCAAGTCTCAGTGTTTCCTCTCATGCTCCCTTTCATGGACTACTCCTCGCATATACTTTTATCTATTTGGATTTATCTTTAACAACAACCATGACACCAGAATCTGCTCATTCATTTATATCAGCAGCCTCACACATCACACATGCTGTCAATAATTATGCAATAAATAAATAGTTACAAACAAAAGATCAGCAATTGTTTGTCATTCTTCCAGTAACTCCACATATATTTTTGCTATTAAAATATAACTAGAATCTTAGATAATGCATATGCAGAGAAAAGAAGCTTTTTATAGATGGTATTTTCACATAAATAACACACACTTAAAATATTTACATATTGTAGGTGCTACATTCACTGGTACCATTTAAAACTATCTCAGAAACAAACTCTTACTACCCTAATATGTATATGGGAATGAGTGTGAATTTAACCTTTGTTAGATATCAGAAAGTTCATAGAGACATACATGAAACTTTTTGTAAACTAAGATTTAAGGGCCGCCTTCACATGACATTTCTCTTATTTCTTCAATGAGACCATTCCCATAGGATTTGTGTACACGATGCCTTTACACATCACGATCTGTATTTTTTTTTTTTTTTGGAGAGATTTTCACTGTAGGGTGCGTGTGCTCGCCAGACAGACAGAGAGAGACATAGAGACAGAAAGCGAGAAATCACCCCCCAGGGGGGATGGTCACGCCGCAATCCCTTCTCCTCCATTCTCCTCTCGGGATCTTGGGCACGCACGCACACGTGCCCGGCGTGAGTTTTAAGCCACCGGGTCCGGGACACGAACCGCAGTCGACTACGTGGGAGTCCAGCGACATAGCCATTACGCTAACTGCTGGTTCCCACAATCTGTGTTTAAGAACTGACTGTGCAGTGAGAGTCCGGGCGCCCTTGAGCGGACCAGAGAATGAGATAGGGCAGCACAGCACAACACCCAGCCTACCTTTCTGCATCGGGGGCAGTGCCTTTCCTAGTCTGTTTTTGGATGCTAGATCTTTCAGACTTTCTGGAGTGCCTGTGGAATGAAATGTTAAAGAAACACAAAATATATGATGAATAAAACTACATTAATTTCATACAATGATAAAAGCAATATATATGAGCAATGGCAACAATCTTAGCTAAATGGTTTGTCACCCAATACTTTTCCAAATTAAAAAAAAAAAATTAAAGTCTGAATTGGTGTTATATGGAAGATACTAGTTGTCCAACGGGAGGCATGAGAAGCTGGCATTTCATTTGTCTGGGTACATTTGTCCACAGTGGTGATGGAACATGGACCTCTGCTGGACAACTCTGCCTCCTCCAATGAGTAAACCAAATCAGTGGTGAAATGGAAGATGACAGATGTGATGACGGTAACGGTATAGGTGCGAAAAGATCGCCAAGGGGTAACGAACGCGCTTGTGCATGTTGAAACTTGGTGCTATAAAGGTTTTGCTGTTTATTCTGCCCATTCCATTAGGAAAATGCCAAAGTGAAAGATGTATGACATAAGTGAAAGTGTTTACCAACTAGTAAAATTATTTTTAAATGACCATAAAGATGCTTTTGTAGCATTTTAAAAAGCTAATCGTGTCCCCAAATAAAAAATTAATTAAGCCTTCGACTTGCTCTGCTTTCCAAAAGTATATACGTGGACTGAACATCTGCAATGTTAAAAGCATTTTATAATGGAAAGAATGTGAATATACAGCACTTACTACCCCAGGTTATATGCACATATTTTAACTAAAATGTGTGAACTACTATACATTTGAAATAAATAATATAAAACATTGTGGTATAAAGAAACTCATAAAAATCTGGAGAAACCATAACAATGTGTATTTTCATATTGCTTATGGATTCGCTACAATTTATGCTTACTTATCTTTCCTGATATAGCTTTCTTCCAATGATGTTGAGATAAATGTCTCTCTTTACTTATTAATATCAGAATTTTTGTTTGTTTTCTGAGGTTTCTGCAATAGGGCATGTGTGCTCACCAGAGAGACAGAGAGAAAATGAGAGAGAGGAAAGGAAAGTGAGAAATTACCCCCTCAGGGGGATGGCCAAACGGGATTTTGGGCACACGAACACACACCTACACACACACACACGTGTGCCTGGTGTGATTTTCAAGCCACTGGGTCCAGAATTCAAACCAAGGTGAACCATATGGGAATCCAGTGCCTTAACCAATGCCACCTGCTGGCCCCTATATCAGATGCTAATTAATTTTTTTTTGGAGAGATTTTTGCTATAGGGTACGTGCGCTCACCAGACAGACAGAGACAGACAGAGAGACAGAAAGTGAGAAATCACCCCCCAGGGGGGATGACCACGCCATAATCCCTTCTTTTCCGTTCTCCTCTTGGGATCTTGGGCACGCACGCACATGCGCCCGGCGTGCGTTTTAAGGGACGCGAACTGCGGTTGACTACATGGGAGTTCGGCAACATAGCCATTACTCTAACTGCTGGTCCTCAGATGCTAATTAACTTTTAAGTATAGGCCAAGTTGTCCTAAGCACTAGAAACTCCTGTCAAAGCATCAAGTCTGTCTTCACAAAGTGCAGAGACTTCTGAGGATGCTCATCTCTCCTCATCTCCTCTGCTTGGCCAGAAACTGAGTTCACACTAGCTTACCCCTACAACTCATGATTTCTGTGCTGTGTTCTCTATCCTCTTGTTATCTTCTCATCTCAGTTCTGAGATGAGAAAAGGGAGGACAAACAGGAGAAAGACATCTCTGACCATGTCCCTTTACTAGCTGGAAAAGAGAGTATCAATATACTCAAGGGTAACTCCATACCAGGTACTGAAGGAGGTATGGATTTAACGTCCACTTCCATTCAGGAACGTGCTCTCTCTCTCCGTTACAGGTAAGAAAACAGATGAAGGCCACTCAGAAAGTAGCAAAGTTGGGATTAGAATATAGGTCTGTCTGGCTCCTAAGGTGTTTCTGTCACAGACTGTCCAGAAGAGTGGAAGAGATACATTCTGACATGAGGTATCTGGCTGCATCCTTGTTTAAGAGGAAGAGACTGTGAAAGCTCGTACAGGCCTGAGACAGAGAGCTGACTCTCTAACATTAAAGTTCTCCTTCACTTTATTATCCCTAAAGTGGGCAGGGGATAAAGGGAGAGAAGGAGAGTACAGAATTTCACAGCAGATGCTTCAAATCAATGTGAGATGGTAGGTATGGTTGTTGGGAAAGGAAGCTTACTCCTGAAGCAGAGAAAGGAAGGCACAAGAATAGCAAGAAGAAAGTAAAGGGGACAAAAAGAGAGAGAGAGAAGAAATAGGTATGCAGGCCCTGGGGCCAAAATAAAAAGTGGTACTGTAAATGACTCGAACATGCAAGCTTGGCTCCAACAGTGCTCAGGACAATCCCTGGGAGAACACACGTTCTTTTCTCATCTTCTTCAGCACGGGTAGAGCAGATGAAGGCACAGTTTCAGAAAAACCCATGACATTTATTGTCATTAAGGGTTTTCACTGGGCCGTTTACTTATTCAAGAAAAACTTGTTGAGCACGCATATGTATTGGGCACTCTTCTAGGTGGAGTAAGTCTGTGAACAACCCTGACAGATCTCTGCCTTCAAGGAATTTACGCTAGTGGAAGACCAAAATTAAATACCTAAAGAATTTCAAAGTACATTACATAGCATGGAAGAGGGCAATGAATGCTAACAACCACGAAAGGGAAGGCAGGGCAAAGAGGGCCAGAGCACGGGAGCGATGAGGGGTATTGAGGGACAGGTGCTGACTGCAGTTTTAAACAGGATGTTCAAGGAAGGACTCACTGCAATGGTGGCAAAGACTTCTTCAGGTGAAGGATTTGTTCATCTATGTATCTAGGGACAGAGTATCTCAGGAAAAGAGAACAGCAAGTGCACAGGGTGTCTGGTATATTCAAGGAAGAGTAAAGAGGCCAGCACAGCAGGAGCTGGGAGCGAAGAGTCAGAGGAGAAGCTGGGGAAGCAGGGAGAGGAACCGTGTCGAATCTGGTAGGCCTTTGTACCAATTTGCTACCTACACACAGGAAAGAGTAACAGCCATCTTCTAAACTTGCCTGTTTTTCTTCCTATTTCTAGCAATTTCTATGAACCTTTCTAAACACAACCGAGATTTTACTTTTTCTGTGAAACTTTCCAATTCTTCTTCCTCTCCTCATCTCTTAACCTGAATGGATTCATACCCCTACCACTGATCATCACAGTAATACATGAGGATGTTGCCAACAAAGACATGGATATTAAACATTTCACTAAGAGTGTTCTCTGTGCTTTATCACTTTATCTGCATGGTTTCATCTAATCTTGACAATCCAAACAGGTAGGCACTACTCTTTCAATCTTTCTAAGAATTAGGAGATGGTGATTGAAAGAGGTTAAATAATTTCCTCTAGATCACATCGTCATTAAATGTCAAGCCAAGATGTCAATTGGCAGTCTACAATTTCAAAAGCATTTCTGGCATAAATGACATTGGAATAAAGTGATTGAAACATGGACTTTAATAGTTAGACTGTGTTTAATACCAGCTATGTTTCAGACAAACTTAAGAGAATTTGCCCAAGTTACCTCACTTCTAAACTGTCGAAAATACCACTACCCCACTACAGGTTTGTAAATTTTAAATATTTCAGTATAACTGATTTTATATGTTATTATTTGTAATATTTCCAAATATTATGAAACCAGAATTTGTAAGAGTTTTAGCGTTACTTAGAACTAGCAAGTATAGGCAATATAAAAGTATCGTTTTAACCATATATATTACTTAGAACTAGCAAGTATAGGCAATATAAAATTATCATTTTAACCATATATGTTTCATAAAGACAAAGACTCTCACTCATCTGTAAGAATAAAAAACTTAGGGCCAGTGCTCCATACCTGGATGATAAATATTCATGCAGAGGTTCAAAATCTAAACACTTTTCTTTTCAACACTCTTGTTAAGGAAAACCTTTTTTTCTCTTCAAATAGCCCTGACACTTATTTTTACCAAAGATTCTTCTAGAGATTTCTAAAAAGGATATGTATTTATAAGTTGTATAAACACTTAAAAGAATCTACAAATTGAGTTAAAATAGTACACACTTATTTGTAATAATTTAGTGAACCAAGAAAGAAAAATAAATTTCTAATGATTTTCTTACTTTAAATCTTAAGTTATAGCTATCAATATACTGTATATTTTAACACACATATTTCTTGGATTAATAAGAGGCTTGAGATACATAAAATAGAAGAAGTTTCTTTCTTACTAATATATGGTTTTAACATGCTTTTTGTTTTATCAAAGATTTGCCTTTTTATTGTTGATTAAGAATGTTGGGACCAGCAGTTGGTGTAATGGCTGTGTTGCTGGACTCCCATGTAGCCGACTACAGTTTGAGTCCCAGGCCTGGTGGCTGAGAAATGTTGCCTGCATTAATGATTTAAAGACAGATCCTTCTGGCAAGTACACAATTAATGAGCCTGGATTACTCAATAGCACTGCCCTTTCTTTGTTAAACTATTCATGAACCCTTGGATGACTGGCTGCAGGTTCAGGGTAAACTTAAAAAAAAAAAAAAAAAAAAAAAGTTTCTTTGGTTTAAAAATGCAAGAGTCAAAAAGTCCAAGTTTTCTCCTTTATTAACAACTTAATAGCTGTATGATTTTGGTCTCATGCTTCTTCCTTCACAGGGTATTGCTGAAATTCTTTAAAAAGTACAAAGGTACATTAAAAAGTAAGGTATAGCCATTATTATAGTAGTAAATCAAACAAAATAATATAAATTGGACGATGGTCCTAAATAAATCTATGTTCTTTCGAAGTTCTAGTTTTCATTATTATTTCCTCTCTTTCTAATAACTTGTGAAAATATGCAGATTAAAAAGAGATACATCTATTAAAATCTATTTATGTGCTACTTTTCATTCCTCCTAATACTAATTTTAGTTCTAGAAATTCTCTGAAAACATTGGCTAAATAAATTTTTTTAACATATTATAATTCCTAGAAAAGGATAAAGTGAATGTTAATAACAGTAATGTTATTTAAGAATCATTTATAAGAAAATGAAAACACAATGTTTAATTTGGCAAAAATGTAACAAAAATATACCACATTATGTTTTCATTGAATTAGAACACAAGAGATGGGGCTTAGTGCCAGCAGTGGAGTGTGTGGAGAAGAGGGACCTAAGGAAGGACATTTGGAGGAGGGATACGGAGAGAGAGCATTGATGGGATGGGGAGGTGTGGTGTTATTGGTGGGAGATATTCTGATCAACTGGACTGGGGAGAAATGTTCACATGTTGAAATGTTCACTTTGTAAGCTAAATAATATGATTGAATGTATATAAAAAATTAAAATAAAAAAATGGAAAAAAAGAGAAAAAAAAAAGATGTAAGACCATATCTGGTATATACATGCCTGCTGACTACTCACATAGCTTATACTGTCTGAATGTAAAATGCACTCTCCAGGATCTTATTTACTCACAAGTTTGGGAAAAATTATATATGAATAGCACTGGTCTAAGTAAGGAATGTTCATACGCAGCCAAGATGTATGCATGCAGTTAAGACACGTTTACCCTCCTGCATTATTACTGATACTTATGTATATGACTGTAGCTGTTTTAGTACATGGGTAAAGTTAATTCATTCAAATAAGCAACATTTTTGAAAAGCTCACTTAAAATGTATTACAAAGCAAAAAGAAATAAGTAATAAACTGAATTTATAACTGGTTCTGCACTAACTGCATATATATGACAACTGCCATAAATTTTGGAAATGAAGTACCTGATTTGTTTATTCCAGAAATATTTTTGACAAAGAAAAAAAAATTAATTCACTTTATACGAAAAGGAACTGTTTAATACCCTTGGTCAAAAATTCTCACAGAGAAGTACCTAGTACTAAACAACAGGTATGAAAAAATATACAAGTTTGGTTATTTACAAAAAAAAAATTAAAGCTAGTTTAGCATAACAACTGAAATCAATCTTAAAGTGGGATGCTTTATATATTTAATGTAATGTTCTGGAAAACAGGGTAATTTTATAGAATATTTTTAGCATTTGACTCATATACCAATTGTACCCTTAAAAAATATAC